TCTCCCTTGTCTCAGTACAAAAAGCACTTACTGAGCACACGCTGTGGGCCAGGTAATGAGGATAAAACAGTTAATAAGATCCAGTCCCTAAGGTCAATATGCTCATAGAAGTCGAAATAAGAAACTGAAGAATCAGAAACATCCTTAAAAATAAAGGAAAGGTTATAAATGGTGATATTTGAAGGTAGCAAGGGGAAAAGAGAGCTGTGAGGACAGGGCTAAGTGGAGAGTTCCAGCGGGTGTCCAATTCACAATCTTGAGCACTCCATCCTAAGAGTAGGGATTCACAAGTTCTCTAGGTCGTTTTTGCCATCCAAGACTGCAGAGCCATGTGGCTCCTAAGTCAAAGGTAACTTTCAGTGCACTGATTTCAGCACTTACCATTAATGAATCAATTTCAAGCCTGGGAGTGGGAGGAGGTTAAACTCAGCAGAAAACCCTCCAGAGGTTTATTTGTGGGTGAGAGACTTGACGCCCCTACACCAATCCCATAACAGAAACAGCCCGTTTTTCTCTGAAACCAGTACCCTATTACTGAACTCTGCAGAACAGGTTCAATACAGTTGAAGCACAATCACTTTCAAACTGTCTTTCCCCATCTCTTTCCCACATGCATGTAATAATACCTAGGTGAATGTAAGGCAGACACCCTCTCACCTAACTTTTTAATTAACTAGTCGTCTCATCATACATCCTCATATCAAAATTAGGAGAAGGAAACAACCTACCACATAAGAGTTGAAAGCTTACATTTACACAGAGGTTTTCGTGCACAGATTTATTCATAATTGCCAAAACTTGGAAGCAACCCAGATGTCCTTGAGTAGGTGAATGGATAAATAAAGTGTGGTACATCCAGATGACAGAATATTATTTAGTGCTAAAAAGCTATGAGCTATTAGGCCATGAAAAGACACAGAGGAACCTTAAATGTATATTACTAAGTGAAAGAAGACAATCTGAGAAGGTTACATACTGTATGACTCCAACTCCAGGGCATTCTGTACAAGGCAAAACTATGGAGGTAGTAAAAAGGCCAGTGGCTGCCAGGAATTAGAGGGCAGGGATGCATAGGCAGAATGCAGAGGTTTCTTAAGGCTGTGAAAATACTCTGGATAATACCATAAGAATGGATACGTGTCATTATACATTTTCCAAATCCATAGAATGTACAATGCTAAGAGTAAATGCTAATACTAAAAGGTCTTTAAAGTTTGTCTTTTATAAATTTTTGAACACTTAGCTCAGATTTCATAGTATTTGAGATGTCTGACCACTAACTCACCGTAACTCAGGGAATAAATTATTTCTGCTAAAACCAGGCCAATATTCAAGACCTTTAAACATGACTGCCAGGAGAGCCAATAATTGATAACCAGCACTTACTAGGTGCTAGACTCTGTTCTAAGCATGATTTAAGCCTCACAACAACCATATGAGATAGGTACTGTTATCATCCTCGTTTTACAGATAAGGAAATTGAGGCAGAGACTGGTTGAGTAATTTGCCCAAGATCACACAGCTAATAACTGAAAGTGCTGAAATGTGTAACCCACACAGAATGACTCAGAGTCTGTGTGCTTTGCCATGAAATAATACCATGCTAGTGAGAACCTTATGACTCCACCTTCCTTCTAACAAGAGAAGGGATAAAGAAACTACATGCAAGCTCACTCCAATCGACCTAAGATTACCAGAGACATCAGCACCTCCTTCCCAAACCAAACCAGGGAAGCCATTTTGTGGAAGGACTTAGTATACCAGAATCTGATTCTCAGAAACAAAAACAAAAACAAAACAAAACAAAAAACTAGAAATCTAGTAACAAAACAAACCTCATTCGAGTTCAAGAAAAAATGGTTATTTAACAGAAATATAGAATGTGAATTTTAAACAACAGCATACTTGAAACTGAACAATACATGTATGGGGGAAATTAGCATACAATCATTAGAATAAGATAATGTAATGAAAAACTTTATCCTGAAATAAGGAGACAGCAACACTCCATGAAGCTTAATTCATTTTGAATGCCTAAAATATGTATGCACATCATGTAATGTTCTACTACCTAGTAGATTACCAAGAAATGATCAATTATATACATCCAAATACCAGTTTCTTGCCATGAATAAAATCATTGCAGGGAAAAAATGTAAAGACTGAAGTGGCCCAGAGAATTTGTGAAATTTATCATCCATTTTGGGCCGGGTGTGGTGGCTCACACCTGTAATCCTAACACTTCGGGAACCTGAGGCAGGCAGATTACGAGGTCAGGAGTTCAAGACCAGCCTGGCCAATATGGTGAAACCGTCTCTACTGAAAATACGAAAAAAAAAAAAAAAAAAAATTAGCCAGGTGTGGTGGCGGGCACCTGTAATCCTAGCTACTCCAGAAGGCTAAGGCAGGAGAATCGCTTGAAACCAGAAGTTGGAGGTTGCAGTGAACCAAGATTGTACCACTGCACTCTAGTCTGGGCAACAAGAGCAAAATTCTGCCTCAAAAAAAAAAAAAAAAAAAAAAAAAAAAAAAATCTATCCTCCACTTCCAGAAAGAGAAAGAACTAGAGCATACCTAAGTTTTTTAAAAAAAGCTTTAGAGCAAATCTGTGATTTAAAAAATTCAAGAGACCTGCCCACATGAGTAAATAGATGACAATGTTTCAAGAAGGAGTTGAGTAAGCATCGTACATTCCAGTCCTGCTTTGATATAGAAATGCTTTGTGATCTCTATGGCCACTTAGCTTCAGAGACGACTCATCTCCAAATGGTCCTAATAATATGTGCTTAACTTATTTCACAAAAGATAATTTGTATTTGTAAAGTCTCTAGAGATAAATAGATTATGTTAATAATACTTTGAAATCTCATAATAACTCACCTCAGGAACTCAAGTTTTAAAAACTATTAAACTGACAATATTCTCTGTTTTTCTTCTTTTATTCCTGGGGGAAAAATGAGCAAAAGATTAAAAATTTGACCAGGTCACAACAAAAATCAGTAAAAAGTCTCTAAATAGGAATTGTATCTACCTTATCATGAACTGTTCTGAACATAAACTGATGGTCCCATTATAGTTTTGTATTTATTCTTTATTTTTAAATATTTTTTATTTGAAAAATCCATGCAGTCCACTAAATATTCCATACATTTTAGTGACAATAATGTTGGGTGTTTTCAAAGTATTCACTATCCACAACATTAAAAAACATCATTCCAAAAAAAATTACTGTTTCTAAACTAAACCCATAATTAGTTAACCAATCAATTTGTACCATTATAAGTGATAGAGACCTGACCCTGTCTGACATGTCCACTTTATTATAATAATTTAAATAATTAGCATTTTAAAATGTTTGTGCCTTTCAGACTGTCTTATAAGTCATTCATGATTGGAACCGCTCAACATTCATATGAGACTGTTTGATGCTACTATTTTCATTTGCCCAGTAGGGAAATGATCCAAGCCTGGATAACTTCCCAAGGGAATCAAGGCAAGAGAATAAAGAGTCAACTTCTTTGTGACAACTTGTCTTCAATCTAGGGTACCGTAAGTACTGGTTTTCTAGGTAATGCTGAAAACACCTCCCTCCTTTATGTATTTTACTCCCTGCTAATCAATATGATGCTCTCTTCTCAAAGTAATTCCTAATGTCTTAAATATATAAATTTATACTAAAAGGCAGTAAACACTATTTGGGGATAGGGAAGTGAACAATTTGGAGACTGTCAGTTGAACGGATGTTCTGCTCCTGGACCAAACCAAGAAATCTCAATCAAAGTAATTCTCCATCACCATCGAATATTCATGAATTATAGTGAAATTAATAATACGCAGGACTGCAGGATTTCTATTATTTCAGTTTTCAATTAAAGAAATGATAGATTTCTTTTAAAATCTCCCACTACCAAAAGATCAATAGATGCTGAAATTCTCTGGTTTCAATAAGAGGGAAAACACACACGCAGTGCAGTGGTTTACACCTGTAATGTGGCTACAGGAGGCTGAGCTGGGTGAGGAGGCTGAAGATCACTGGAGGCCAAGAGTTCGAGACCAGCCTGAAAAATATAGTGAGACCACATCTCTTTAAAAAAGGAAAGAAATAAAGAAAGGAAGAAAGGAAGCACTCGATGAAGTGAAAATATTAGAAATACTCTATAAGCATTAACAGGATGAAAGTGGGAGACATTCTCTCATTGGAATTTTTTTTTTTTTTTTAAAGATGGGGTTTCTGGCCGGGCGCGGTTGCTCCAGCTTGTAATCCCAGCACTTTGGGAGGCCGAGGCGGGTGGATCACGAGGTCAAGAGATCGAGACCATCCTGGTCAACATGGTGAAACCCCGTCTCTACTAAAAATACAAAAAATTAGCTGGGCATGGTGGCGCGTGCCTGTAATCCCAGCTACTCAGGAAGCTGAGACAGGAGAATTGCCTGAACCCAGGAGGCGGAGGTTGCGGTGAGCCGAGATCGCACCATTGCACTCCAGCCTGGGTAAAAAGAGCGAAACTCGGTCTCAAAAAAAAGAAAAAAAAAAGAAAAAAAGATGGGGTTTCACCATGATGGCCAGGCTGGTCTTGAACTCCTGACCTCAGGTGATCCATCCACCTCGGCCTCCAAAGTGCTAGGATTACAGGCGTGAGCCACCGCTCCCGGCTTCTCATTGGAATTATTAATTCTTTGTTATATGTGGTAGGGGGAGAATCTAGATTCTATTAATATTCCAGTGGTCAAAAAGATGCACGTTTACTCATATTTAATTTTGGCCTTCGAGGCTGTGATTTAGTTTTACTTCACCTGGCATCGTTTTCATATATAAAAAAATATCCTTGGGCAACCTTTCCACCTACAGACTGGACACTGTTAAAAGTCACCCAATCGTGAAAAACAACAATTAGGATGCAGGTAAATTTTATTACAAACTGGCGTAGTCAAGACTGACATGACCCAGTGAATCCTATAAAAGGCCAAGGGAGCTAACGAGTGTGGAAGCTGTACTCTGGCTTTGCTCCTGTCTCTGGGAAGGGGTTGCTCGGCTGTGCTGTCGCGATGTCTTTTCGACTTTCTGGTGGATCCAGGCGGATCTGCTCACGAACTGGGTCTGCTAGGCTGTCTGGTGGAGGAACTGGCTTTGTGGCTGGGAATGCGTGTGTTGGGTCGGGAGCAGGGAGCAGCTTTTCTTGTACTCTTGGGGGCATTTCTTCTGCAGGAAGCTTCTGCAATAGTGGTGGAGGGTTAGGAAGTGGTGCCTGTGCTGGTTTTCTTGGCATTGAGCACAGCCTCCTCTCTGGGAATGAAAAGGTGACCATGCAGAATCTCAACGACCGCCTTGCATCCTACCTGGACCACGTGCGTGCCCTGGAGGAGGCCAATGCAGACCTGGAGCAGAAGATCAACGGTTGGTACCAGAAATGTGAGCCTGGCTCTTCCCGGAGACATGATCATGACCATAGCAGATACTTCTCAGTCATCGAAGATCTTGAAAGGCAGGTAAGAAATAGGGATTTGCATGCTTTTGCTACAGACTTTGGGTGTGCATGATTTAAAGAAGAGAACATATAAAATGTGCTTAACAAATTTTTATGTGATGTAGGATTTGTTCACTCTGTATTTCCAGTACTAAGGGCAGTGCCTGGCAATAAAAACTTGTAGAATTAAAGAATGAAAAAGAAATCATTTCAAAATGATATATTCACTTCATTTTCCATATATTTAGCTCACACCATTTGATCAAAAGTAATAAAACTATCCACGTGGCCCTTAAGCTGTGAATGTTTATTATCTGAAAAAAATCCAGATTTCTTTAACATAGAAAAAAAGATACTAAAACAGATGTTTGACAGGTTAAGAAGACATAAAATCACACTGAAGTCTGGGGTCTCCTTTGAATTTTGGTACTTAATATTTTGCACAATCTTTCCTATTTAGATTATTTCTGCGACCACCTGCAACACCAGCATTGTTCTACAAAATGACAATGCCAGACTTACCGCTGATGACTTCAGGCTGAAGTAGGTGAAAACGAATTGATTAATTATATTAATAAAAGTTAAAATATTACAGTTGGATTAAACAGCATATCTTTTGCTTTGAAAACCAAAATGTTTTTATAAACATATATATAGATCAATGAAGAAATTGAATTAAATACACCCCTATAAAAAGAGCTATCATGGTTGAATGCAGTAGCTCATGCCTGTAATCCCAGCGCCTTGGGAGGCCGAGGCAAGCAGATCACTTGAGGTCAGTAGTTTGAGACCAGCCTGGCCAACATGGCAAAACCCCATCTCTACTACAAATACACACACACAAGAATAGTCAGGCATGGTGGCACACTCCTGTGATCCCAGCTACTCTGGAGGGTGAGACACCAGAATCACTTGAACCTGGAAGGCTGAGGTTGCAGTGAGCTGAGATGGGGCCATAGCACTTTAGCCTGGGTGACAGAGTGAGACTGTCTCTAAAAAAAAAAAAAAAAAAAAAAAAAGAGCTATTACACATTTTTTAAAATCTAAAATCTAGCAATATCTTATTTAATTATTAAGCCCATTGGATGACAAAAATCAACTCTGAAGAAATAACATTTCCAAAATACAATTCATGAATTGCTAGGTATCTCAAGCCATTTTAGAAGTTTGTCATTGCAAGAAGCTTCAGAAGTATGTACACAACATCATATCTTTCAGCATATGAAATGTCTTTAAAAGTTGTGCTTTGCACCTGCCTACGATTACAACTCTCAGGTGCCTTACTATCTTTCAGGTATGAAAATGAGCTGGCTTTGCACCACAGCGTTGAAGCCGACACCAATGGTCTTCGCAGAGTGTTGGATGAGCTGACCCTTTGTACAACCGACCTGGAGATACAGTGTGAGACCCTCAGTGAGGAACTGACTTACCTCAAAAAAAATCACGAGGAGGTAAGGAAGCCTGCAGATTGGCCTCATATGGCATCTGATTTCCTTCTTCAAGTCCACTGTTCGTTTCATAGCAGGGCATGAATATCAGTCAAAATCCTCTACTGAGAATTAATACTGATCCCTTTTTCTAGGAAATGACAGTCCTGCAATGTACAGCTGGGGGGAATGTGAATGTGGAGATGAATGCAGCCCCGGGAGTGGACCTAACTGTCCTGTTGAACAACATGAGGGCTGAGTATGAGGACTTGGCTGAGCAGAACCGCAAAGACGCGGAAGCCTGGTTCAACGAGAGGGTAGGTCTATGCCAAATTACGAGGGGCCTGCTCAGTAGACCATCAGGCTGGTCACTAATCCTTTCGACAATTACACTTCAGAGTGCAACGCTGCAACAACAGATTTCTGATCATGAGGGAGCAGCCACAGCAGCCAGAAATGAGCTGACCGAATTGAAACGCAATCTGCAAACCCTGGAAATAGAACTTCAGTCCCTCATGGCTATGGTACGTAGGAATTGCCATTGAATTGAATATGTGTGTGAATATGTATAAGTCAATACAGATAGAAAAATAATATAACACCAAGTACATATAACTATTTACATATGACTGAAAGTATAAAATGTATTAAGTATCAAGAATTCTGTCCCTAAACTCACTGCCTTTTTGCAATATACAATTTTTTTTTAATCTTGCAAATGTTGATTTTCAATTGAAAATATTCAGACTTTATATGAATATTTCTTTCTACCTTGAGAATTTTTAAAATATGACCATGCCACCCAAGCGTGGTGGCTCACACCTGTAATCCCAGCACTTTGGGAGGCCGAGGCAGGTGGATCACTTGAGGTCAGGAGTTCAAGACCAGCCTAGCCAACATGGTGAAACCTCATCTCTACTAAAAATACAACAATTATCTGGGTATGGTGGCACACACCTGTAATCCCACCTACTCAGGAGGCTGAGGCAGGAGAATCACTTGAACCTAGGACAGGAGGTTGCAGTGAGCTGAGATTGTGCCACTGCACCCCAGCCTGGGTGACAGAGCAAGACACTATCTTAAAAAAAAATCAATAAAATAATATAAAATATGACCATGCCATTTCTCTTTCACACGTTCAAGCCTCACTTCGTTTTTCTTTCAGAAATATTCCTATGAATGCTCATTGGCTGAGACTGAAGGAAATTACTGCAATCAACTCCAGCAAATTCAGGATCAGATCGGGGCAATGGAGGAACAGCTGCAACAGATTCGAACAGAAACAGAGGGCCAGAAGCTGGAGTATGAACAGCTTCTTGATGTAAAAATATTTTTAGAAAAAGAAATTGAAATTTATTGCAACTTACTAGATGGAGAAGAAAGGTAAATATTTAACTTGTGAAAAAAAAAAAAAAACAAACTCGCATCAACTAGGTTTTCTCACTGTATAGGTATACCAATATTGCATCCTAGAATTTCCCACTCTAGACATCATAGATATTTAACGTCAGGAATGTATATTATTGCAGCCAAGTGAAGTTAAAACATGTATGTAAAATATTTATATGTATGATAATATAAAGGACATTTAAGTATAGAATATTTAACAATTCCAGTACTCCAATTCAAAAAGAAAATTGTTTTCTGTGATTTAGTGTGTAAGCACATTTCTTATAAATAACTCACTCTCTTTTATTATCACATCACTAGTTACCCCACATGTACCTCGTATTAAAGATAAGCAATGAAGATACAGGAAGAATTAACTGGAGAGGTTCCATAGTTTCTTAGTCAATAAAAACAGCCCTGGAATTACAGCCTTGGATGTGAATCAAACACTGGGTGAATTATGAACACATTGTTCAACCTTTTCAAATGCAGTTTCCCCACTGGTGAAATCGTGATAACACCAAAACCATACGTGTAACCACTCTTAACTATAATGTCTCACTATGTAGGTAAAGAGCTCGTGACAGTGGCATACATAGAAAAGGTATTTGGTATTCACTGCTTATTACTAAATGCTTGCCCATGGCCGCATAGTGAAGAGGTAACATCTTGCACACTCCAAGGCCCGTCAGCCTTCTGCAGCCTATTCTCACAGGAACCCAAAAGTGATTGCTCCTTCAGAACAAAGCACTCATTACACCACTCATTTTCACTAATTTACAGCACTTTTCATGTTATAGGTAACTTTTTGAGTGTATGTACTTTATCTCCAACAGTAAAAACTGTGTCTTGGTTCTATATTTTCTGCAGCACCTAGCCCAGTACCTTCTTCATGGTAGGCACTCCAAACACATTCACTGGCCAGTTGATTGAAAAGTCAGAGTGAGAAATATTGCTAGATGAAAGAGGTAATATCTGGTCGTGAGAAAATGTCTATCCATAAACATCCATCTAATCTCTTCTTTCACTATGCTGAAATCATGAAAAGCTTACTAGTGTTCCTTAAATACATAACGAATTTGAATCTTATTGCAAATAGAACCCCAAAACTCTTCTTCCCAATGTAGAGGTATTTATAAGCTCACTAAGGAAAGAAAACAAATGCAATAATTTACTCTTCTCTTCACAGAAAAGGCAAATCCACGTGTTACACATCAAAAGGATATGAACCTGTGAATTCTAGAAATCAAGCCAAAGGTAGAGATGATTTTTCTACTGGGTGTAACTCCTTAAACTCCATCAATTGTGTTAACTAAGTTACTTATTTGTTAACTACATAAAATTTTTTTTTAAGTTTACTTCTGATGAATGAAGGGATGAGGGGTCATTATGATAGTTCTTAAAACTTATATTTGATATTCCTGTAGAACAACAGATGTGGTCAAATTACAAAATTACTGAAATGAAGAATTAATCTCACAACATATTTCTTACTTGGAATGTATTCTGTTTCATAGTTTCAATACTTTGGTAAAAGAGCTACTTTATCTTAAGCCATGAAAATAGGGCAAGTTGGTATTTAAAAGAAGACATTACTTGCAGCCAGCCTCTACTGCCTGATACTTAGATTGTTCTAATCCACGTTTCATTTATGTTTTCAAACACCCACTGCTCTGCTCTAAAATAATGGCAAATATAAGAGAGATAGTCCAGGCTCTTGCTAAACACTGACTTCAAACAGTATTATATCTCAATTTACTGCAAACTTGCAAAAAACAATTTTTAAGAAGACATTTTTTAAAAGGTGCGGTGGCTCATGCCTGTAATCTCAGCACTTTGGGAGGCCAAGGCAGGTGGATCACTTAAGGTCAGGTGCTTGAGACCAGCCTGGCCAACATGGTGAAACTCCACCTCTACTAAGAATACAAAAATTAGCTGGGCATGGTGGAAGGTGCCTGTAATATCCCAGCTACTCGGGAGGCTGAGGCAGAAAAATAGCTTGAATCCAGGAGGCAGAGGCTGCAGAGAGCCGAGATAACCCTAATGCACTCCAGCCTGGGCGACAGAGTGAGACTACTTCTCAAAACAAACAAACAGCATACCTGTAATGGCCAAATACTTTTCAACCTGTTAAAAAATGACCACATATGTTTTATTTGTTTTATTTTAGACTCAACAGAAGAAACTATTGTCAAAACAGTGGTTGAGGAACTGAATCAAATTGGCAATGTCCTTTCACTGAGAGTCCACTCAGTTGAAGAAAAGTCTTCTAAGATAAGCAACATTACGATGGAACAACGAGTACCTTCTAAAGTACCATAAAGAGGAAAAAGTTATGAAAACAGAAAAAAGGAAAGAAATAAAGGAAGAAAGAAAAAGAAAGAAAGAAAGAAGAAGAAAAGAAAGAAAGACTGCCTTTGCAAAAATCCTACTGGTCAAATAACTTAAGGAAATTATTCATTTCTGTTCTTCAGAATAAAAGGGCTAGAATTTGTTCTCTTTCTCTTCCTTTTCTCATGTTCTATGCATGTAATCCTCTTCCAGAGAAGAAAAATCCTGCTCTGTGCCTAATTTTTGTTTTTATTTTGGAGACCTTTTCTGACATTTCATTAAAACTTCTTCTGTTGCAAGTTATTTTTTTAATATCTGGTTCTTTTTCATTTCTAAAGTTGATTCCAATGTGACAATACTAAGGACCTGCCAATAAAATAATGTGCTTCATTTCATAGTCACACTTACCTCAATTAATAACAGGACGAGTTCGAAAGAGCACTAGCCCTGATGTCTGCTCCCAAATCTGTCCCTGATTAACTATGTAAATGACGTGATCTTTTTGGGTTTCAGCTTCTGTGAACATAAAAGAAGAAGGCAATACCCAACCCACTGATCAGTAGGATTTGTTTACCCTTGCAATGCCTAACCTGGATGATCGCAAAGGTTTGTTGTAAAATCTGAACCTGGAGAGCTATTTTTCCGTTTTCCAGCACAGGCATCTCTCTGCCCCTATCATGGTGATGACTAAGCAAATTTAGAACTCAAGCCTAGGGGTGGTTCTAAATCTTGCTCATATCCTCCTGCCACAAAATTCTGCCTGATATCCTTATTAAATTATTTTGGAAAGTGCAGCTGGGATTGGACAGCTGCAAAATTCTGGGCTAAAGAGGTTTTTTTTCATTTGGGGTGGAATGAGGCAGTGAGCTCTACAACCACTTGGATTTCCAACTTGCAAGGCAGGGCATCATTGAAAGGTTTTAATCAACTGGCATATAGACAATGTGGAATTCAAAACGGCTCATGAAGACTGAACTGCCCCATTTCAGGTTGCTAAACCCTCTGAGTAAATATACGTGAATTTCCACACACTAAATACCTTACTGATGACTTTTACCTGAGCTAAACCACAATAAATTAAGACAGAAGAAATAGTTCCTTCCAGATTTGCTTCAGATTTTGCAGAGTCAGGAAATCGGTTAATGTCTTTCCAAACTCCCACAAAACATAACACAAATTAGGGGTGTGCTCCTAATTATCAAAATGAAGAAGAGAAGACAACACTTCCCAGTCATAAGTGTCAACAAAATATGATGCTCATGTCAGCCAGAATGGAAGTTAACTTCCCATGGGAAACAGTGGCAAGATGAATTTTAAAACAAAGACAAAAACCAACTGGTTGAAGAACCAGGTTGGGAAAATAATGATTACAGTTCTATTCTCTACGTATGCGGAAAAACTTGTGAAAATAAAAGCCGAAAAAGTCTCAGAAACATCATAACCTACCTTGGCATAATAGCCCAAAACCATGATACCAAATTCCTATTCTTTAATGAGCTGATGAGGTTTATTATCTTCTAAGGAAGGAAGTGAAGAATGACTCATTCATCATTTAAAAAGGTAATAATGAACCTGACATAGCTCCACCCAGACCCATTTCTCAGATAACCACCAACCTGAGGGCAAGTGCCCTCCTACAGGAATGAGCCTAGCAAAGTGAGTTACTAATTAGAAAAAATCACCCAATTATGGCAACTTGCTGACACTGGCAAGCCATGTTTTACTTTATGTAGGCAGAATTTCATTCAGAACACACTTGGGACTTGTCTATAAAAAGGCAAACAAAACCACTTAGGCAAGAAGGCACTCCATCTTCGCTTTCACAAATACAGCTCTGCAACGCATTTGCCCTGATACCATGTCTCTTCGACTTTCCAGTGGATCCAGGAGATCCTGTTCTCGTGCCAACACAGGATCACTTAGGCTTTCTGGTGGTGGAACCAGCTTTGGGGCTGGAAATGCTAGTGGCATTTCAGGGATTGGAAGTGGCTTCTCTTGTGCCTTTGGAGGCAGCTCATCAGGAGGAAACGCAGCGGGAGGCAATCCCTGTGCTGGCTTCACTGTGAATGAGGGGGGGCTCCTTTCTGGCAACGAGAAGGTGACCATGCAGAACCTTAATGACCGCCTGGCGTCCTACCTGGACAATGTGCGTGCTCTGGAAGAGGCCAACGCTGACCTGGAGCAGAAGATCAAGGGCTGGTACGAGAAATTTGGACCTGGCTCTTGCCGTGGTCTTGATCATGACTATAGCAGATATTTCCCAATAATTGATGATCTTAAAAACCAGGTAAGAAATCATACTTCCCAATCATTTTCACGTACCTTTATTTTTAAATTTTCCTTTCTTCATTAAATTCTAAAAACATTTATTATTCCTACTTGTGATTTCTTAAAAAGAATTCCAATTTAGCATTGGAAATAAGCATTAAGTAGATTCAACTGGTTTACTTCATAATAAAAATGTCTCCATTTCATATCTATTATTAACTTTGATTTTTTTCCATTTCCTGCTCTTTAAAATAAAAAATACTTTTTGTTCTTTACCGATTGTGATCAACTGCCTTTAAAAAGTCAAATTCCCGTTTCTAGATCATCGCTTCCACCACTAGCAACGCTAATGCTGTGCTGCAGATTGATAATGCCAGGCTTACAGCCGACGATTTCAGACTTAAGTAAGTAGACTGCCAGAGTGAAATGAATTCACAGCAATTCATGCAAAGCATTAGGTCAAATTTACCAACTCTTATTCCAAAATTATAAAACACTTGAATTTCACATAAACAGGATGTTATTACTTTTTTATGCTTTGACTATTAAATACAAAGCATGAACTGCTATTAAAACCAGGGCCCAATATCATAGTTTCTTTTTCTGTCAAATACCTCAAAGTGGAAACAATAATTATTATAGTGATTATTGTACAACAAACTTTGAAAATGTCTCTTGTGGCCAAATCTTCAAAATTCCAGAATTCTAGCATTTGTAGATCAGCCACTATGTCGTCAACCATGTGACAAATTAGGAAATCATTAACACTCTTTAAGGTATGAAAATGAGCTGGCTCTTCACCAGAGCGTAGAGGCTGACGTCAATGGGTTACGAAGAGTTTTGGATGAAATAACCCTGTGCAGAACAGATCTGGAGATTCAGTACGAGACCCTGAGTGAGGAGATGACTTACCTCAAAAAGAACCATAAAGAGGTAAGAGCTACTCATCTACATTTTGCTAGATCATATACTTAACCTCTCCTATAAAAAGCTGGTGCTGAAGACACATTGTCAGAAAGACATGAGGGCTGAGCTGTCTTTTTAAGTGTCAAATTCTTTGTACACATTCACCCTTGCTCTCTCATCAGGTTTCCTATGGGGAAAAAAAAAAGGAATCATGTTTTCCAGACCAATCAGGGTTGTAAGAGCAGTGCTTGGCTAGGTAATTATAGGTAAGTTAAAATGATCCACTTAGGAGATTACATCGAATTAGATAAAGTAAATATACTTTAAGGATATCCTAAGAAAACTAGATCTAAATTTCTGTATGACAGTGGCAGATTTAAAACACTAAAACATTTACTTCATGCACATATTAAGTATACATACATAACGCTAGTACATATTCTTAATAGGTATGGCTATAAAAATAATGAGACTGAAATTAAACTATTATACCAGAAATTATGCTTCATCATAAACTTCCAGAGTGGTCATTGTTGGAAACTAAGTTCCAAATTTTAGATTGCAGCAATTACATCTTTAGGATTGCTTTCAGAGGCACTGTTTTCCAAAAGGGAAAAATCTTTATCCTTTGAAACTAAATTTGACATTTTAAAATAGCCAAAAATGATCAAGCCAAATGCTTAAAACAGAAGATCAAGCTAAGACTCCTACTTGATTAGTCATGAGCCTGCCTTATAACTGCTTGAATCACATTGATTTGACTACATGGATTCAAATATGGTTACAGCTCTTGGTGTATAATAAATTTTCGATGAATTAAAAGCAATTCCTCAAAAATTTATTATATATATATATGGGGTTGCCTGTAAGTGAGGCATTACAAAAATCAAAGATATATATATCTTTTTTTATCTTTTTATTTTTATGCTTAAACCAGGAAGTTTTCACTAAATCCTCAGATATAAAAGCCACATCTGTAGATAGAGAAGACGTAGGGTCAACCAGAAGGAAAGAAGGCTGGAAGAGCTGAGGGACTCATTGCAGGGAGGAATGAAAACCTTAGTTACCATCATTAAGACCAATTCATGAACAGGGAGGAGAGTTTTGGCAGCAGACATAAGCTGATGAGTGGTATTCCAATTTACAAAGTCTTCACAGTGATGCCTGCCATTCACAATCTTAGAACTGACTCACACATTCTAACAGCATGCAGTTCAGACAGGATAACATGTAGACTTTGACTGCAACATAAATTCCAGCTTCCATGATGATAACAATCGTAATAACCAGCATTCATCTAGCATTTAAGTGCGAGGCAGTGTCATGGGGTCTTATTATTTGTTCTTTGACTTCTTTTAACAACTCAGAGAAGGATTTTTAATTATTCTCAATTTTCAAATAAGTAAATAGAAATTTAAAGAGGTTAAGCCACTTTTCCAAACTCACCAGCCACTACAGGGCAGAACCAAAATTCACACAGAGATTTGTGTGACTCTAAAGTCCAACATGATACTTACTGTAATGTTCCTGAATAGACTCAATAGACAGCTGGGATTCTTCAGAGGGTGATGTTCTTCCCTGCAGGGTGTACACACACGCACACACACATGCACACGCACACACACACACACACACCACTTATTTATTTGTCTATCTATAATCATTTCAATTGTTCAGAATTATTCAAACTCGGCCCTTCAACCATGTTCATGGCTGTGTTGAGGCTGTAGCTGAATTGAGACTGCATCAAAGCCAGCCCCTAGTGGGATGAAGACCATTCCACAAAGGTGGAGAATAGAATAAGCGTGGGGGATCATTCATTTTAAATGTTTAAAACTTCCATTTGGAAAAGGAATTAAGTCTCATTCTAAGTAGTAGAACTGAAACTGATGAGTTTAAGTCATAAGAGCCGGAGTTTGGCTCACTCTAATGTGGAACTCTGGAACAATTAAAACTCTTCCAGCATGAAACAGGCAACTTCCTAAGGTTGAAATCACTGTCTTTGAGAATTAGGTCAACGGTACAGGAAGTATCGCATGCGGTGGGAGCAGGAAATGCACAGCCTGGGAAGGGAAAACTCTAAGTGCCCTTCCAAAGCTAACCTTCTACACTTTCCATGAGATCCCTGC